TTTTTTTTTTTTTTTTTGCATTTCGCTTTATTGCTGTAGGAAGCAGGTGCAAGTCTCGTGTTTTGCAGTTTGGTTTGGAGTACTCTTTATTCGTCGAGGAATTTACATGGGTGCCGTACTTCGCTTTACTTTGACACTTCCCCAGGAATTTGGAATGTCTGCTGAATTACCGGTAATTAATGTGTGTTCTTGGCTACTTTTTTTCAAAAAGTAGTTCGCCTGAAAATTTCTTCTGAGGGTGAGGATGAGGGGAGGGGCATTGGATAACATTGAAGTTGTTCTAATCCGTAACTTTATCACATTTTTAATATCTTTTTAGATCGTCGTATTCGACTTACCCGTTTACCATCCGCATATTGACCCGCACACTCATGAATTGGAAATATCTCGTTACTTTACCGATGGTTGGCAGCCTGAGAAACACCATATTTATCATGTTCTTTTAATTGTTCAGGTTCTCTTTTTCTAAAAACAGTTTTGAAAGTTTTGGACTATTGCGAAACTGTAAAAAATTGCTTATTTCTGTTACGTGCCTCAGTACATCTCGTTTACTGAACTAGCCGTTTTTACCATACTTGACAGGAAGGGAAATGGACAGGTAATCTACTCGAGCTTAATTTTCCTGACAAGAAGATTAAGCTCGAACAGACTACCTGTGCATGTAAACTTTAACTACGTTTTTTATTATTCATACTTCCTTTCCTTTTCGGTTCTTAAGATTTAACATCGGAAATAATCATAGAGCTTAAGAAGGTGCAGTTACTTAGTCATGTCTCTTTTGAAGGAGAAGGTTGTGAGTGATAAAATATTGCTACGCTTGACTCAGGGGACAGGGACTGAGATTGTTAACCGGATTTTTGATTCTTTCTTTCTGTTAGGTTTTTGGGGTGGCTCAAGGTTAACTTCCACAGAAATTTCAAAATGTAAGAGTAGACGTACATGAGTGAATTGGCTCTGTTTATGAGGGGTTAAGGAATTTACAATCACGCAGAATGTAATTGTATTTGACATCAGATTAAAGTATGAGCATTAATCTCGGCATGTAACCCGAAGGTAGACCACTTGGCAACTACTGTAGGAATATACTTAAAATTATAAAATAACACTCAGAAAAATGTTCTTTGGTTTAATAGACTTGATACATTGATGAATTGATAAATGGATTTATTGTATCAGAAGATAGATCAGAGAAAAGTAAATGAATGTTTTACATTCCGTTTTATTGTGAACAAATTTTTGAAGCGGGTTTAGCAGAAACATTTAGGCTGTTTTACGTTGACTCACACACTTTCTAGCTGACCCATTGAATTTCCCCTATTCTTGTTCAGATTAAAAATTTTAAACTTTAGGTACATTTTTTTATTTTATTCTCAAAATCATTGGACTTGGCTCTCTGCCCTGTTTGAGAGGAAAGTGGAACCCTGGCAAATAAACGAAAAAAATTTTTTTTTTGATCAGACACAACCCACTTTGAAGGGTGTTGTGAAATCCGATTTTAAGTGGAAAGAGCAGATGAATTTTAAGAGGATGGGTTAGATAAGATTGCTGAATTTGTATTGGAACGAGATGTTTTTGGTGGGCATGCAGTAGAAGTCGTAACTATTCAAGTTTGATTACTTTTTATCTTGAGAATAATAAACAGCATGTTTCATGCGTTACAACTTGTTTAGTAGTAGAAACACCAAACCGACCTCTGTCAGTGCCACTTTAGCTACTTTTTACGTTTTCTTATAGCTTTACACTCTATGTTCATTACAAGTGACTATACCGTGGGCAATTTAAATTTTCTACAAAACGTTTTTTGTAAGGGATTAAAAAGCCTGTTATTTTGTGACCCTATTTTACAGCGGACAATTTATTTTCTAACACTTATTTAGTAAAAGCCTTCGGAAAAAAAGTTTTGAAAGCCAAGAATTTTTATCACTGAATAAAACTGAATTTTTTATATGGCGTAAACTGAAGAGAGAATGCATTTGGTTTCAAAGTAGGTCATATCAAGTCATGAAACTGGCTTCTCCCGTTTTTAAAAATGTTAAATGCTTTTCAGAAGGGCTAGAAAGGCGGGCCTAATGCCTTTGCAAATTTAGAGTTGCAATATTTAATTCATACAAAGTAGGAGGCTAACCTAAGGGGTTGGCTAGAAAAAATTTACGGCTTGAAATGCCCACCTATATTTTCTGCAGACGAAAAAAAAAGCAGTCAGAAGCAAGGTTTTTTTCAAAACTACTCTAATCTTACTATATTCCAATGAATTGGTTTATTTCTAACAATAAACAAAGTGTTTTCAGAGGACATTTTTCAGTTATGATGCAGATAAGGCAACTTGCAAAAATCCTGGAGCTGTTACCATGTACCAAGAAAATAGAGACGGTTTCTTGGAAAAGGCGCAAAGAGTCATTCGGTTAGTTTAACATGTTCAGCAGATGATGCTAGGAACCGTGATGAAATGATTTAAAGAAGTAATACAAAGGATTTGTTTCTGGGATTTAGCCGTTAGAATGTATTAATTTTTGGTTTGTTTTTGACTCATAGCCACTTTGTTGAAAAAAGATTGTGTTTTTACAGAGAAAGTCGTTCTACCGTGTACGATCCTGTCTTGACCTCTGACGCTAATGCAATTCGGTTTATTCTTCAAGTATTTAAGTCACATAAACAGCTTTTCTGTTGCGAAAAAGTTACTTGAAGTTTTCTGTTATGGACATTGAAATTCCATGACTCAGCAGAAGGTTTTTTACTGAAGAAGAGATGTTAGCTTTAAGGGACAAGAAGAGGGCTATAGGAGGTGGTGGAAGAGCTCAGTTAGTCATTGCAGGTTTAAGCTTGTGGGTTTAAAAAATCAGCAATGGAAGCTTTTTAAGCTTTAGTCAGTACAGTGAACAATTGGGTAACATTTAACAACGTTTATGAAGAAGTGAACAGTACATTTGTGAACTTGAAACAAGTACATACCAAGGAGTGGGCAGTGTTAAGATTGGTTCATAAAGGGAAGCTAAAGGGTCAGGAAATACCAAGGGACGTTGATTCAGATCTATTAGTTTGTTCGCTTAAATTCGTTAGTGCAGTCCAACTGTTTCTTAAAAAAGAACAGGTTCTGCTGTATCCTGCTTCTAATGTGGAGCATCGAGATCTTTTTCAATACTATTTTATCTCTTTGCTGATTATTGATAAGTCGTAGTGGGTTACTTCTATGATTCGCTTGCTTTTTAAGGTGTAAACTTGCATGAAGAAATGTTCTTACGGATATTTATTTTCAAATTGTTTTGTGTATGAGCTGCTCTTTTAAAAGCCTTTAGGAAATCTGTTAAGAACGAAATCTTGCCCCTTACAGTGAGATTAGAGTTATTTGTCTAGTAATAGATTTGCCAAATAAACTCTTCAGTAAGGAATTTTTTAACATCTTAAAGGATTTCATTGCAACCCTGAACTTGTCTCTTGGTATGGTCCTGGCTCCCTAATACAAAGAATTTAGGTTTTTTCCGTGGGAAGCCACTGTCCACGAACCATTGCGTCATCGACTTAGTGGATGTCTTTCAGAAAGTCAAATGAGTAATTCATCTTTGCTAGGGTCGCTGGGCTGTTCTTCGAATAGCTTTTCTGCGTCTCGTGGCAAAATGGGATTTTCGTGGGTTTCTCCTGCTGAAGGTCTATATATGTCAGAAAAGCCGCGGCTGTTAGACAGTCCAGTAGGTTTAATTGAGTTCACTCAATTTTTGTCAGAGTACTGGTATAAAAAGAGTTTTATCTGAGGTTTGGGCTTCTATGGAAGGAATGTGGTGTAAAGTTTGTACAGTTTATTATTTTCTAAATTTTTTGAAAACGTTTTGTAGCCATATCTTTAGCAAGCATTTTGCTATAGCCTTCTAGAGACTTTTGCTGAATATTTGCTTATTTGCAGGAACTAGCTGGGTGCGATCGAGACTTATTCAATGGAAAATTTCGACGTCCACCTGCATCTAATGGTTTGTGTTGAAAAAACGAAGAACTTTTTATTAGTGACTATTCTTTAATAATTTTTACTTTAACTTGGATTTTTCAACCTGTATAAACCTACTTCAGGCAGTAATTTGCTAATTTTACCATTTTCCAACTTTTTTGTATTTCTTCTGATACTGAGTTCGTTCTGATTAGTTTTTTGTAATTTAATCATTTTTCTCATCTGTAGGAGTTTAATATACAATGCTGGTTGTTTAGTGTTTATATTGACTTTTAGAATGTTGTCTGAAGAATGACGGATGTTGTGCTACCTTAACTCACGGTTATCTCGATAAAAACCAAGCAAGCAGTGGAAGTAAAGTAGGAGGGTTTTTACCATTGTACAGAAAAGATATTTTATTACTTTCCTGTCACATTTCGTTCCGTTGGCGATAAAGAAGTCTAAAGCTAGTGACAAAGTCGCTAGCTTTTAGCTCTTCTTTTCAAGTAATTCTGAATTTTCTGGTGCTTACTTTTTAGTGGTTGAAGAGCAGTGGCTCGAGGAGGGAGGGGAATTTTTATTAGCGCAAGTATTATGCATTATTTGATAAGAGTTTTTCAAAAAGCTTGCTGAAGGACGGGATCAAAAAATTTTTTTGAGTCGCTTATGCTACTTTTAGAGAGGCTGTTGTATTTTGGCAGAATTGATTTTTTTTCAAGAGTTGTTTTTTATAGGTGAAAAATTTTTTGGAACTATGTGAGAAAGAGGTGATACAGTTGAGTTGGATGAGGGCAGTGGAATTTTTTACACGTTAAGGCAGGAATAATTACTACCTAAAAGGAAATTGTAGTCGAGTTTCGGGTCTTGGAACGTTTCTTGAAAATGTTTCTAGATTACTTCAAATTAACTGCCTTTTAATCGGCTTAATGGTTTAATTTTATTTTATATTTTTTCAATATACTCTGACTGTTCTCTCGAATATTTCTATTTTTCCTTTGTTTCAACTGCATATACGTCTTGACTGGTTTTTAGGAAAAGAACGGTTGGGACGATTCCGAAACAGCCTGTTTATAGCTGTTTAAAATCACAGTTAATTTCGAGTTGTTTGCTACATTCGGATGGTTGGAAGAGTGTTTTATTTTCTCATTAAAATCGTCCTGACTTCTTTAAAGTTATGTCATCCTAGCTGTATCCGCTGATGGTTCTACACGTTATTATTGGTATTATTTTGTCAGCACTTTTTTGCTGTGTTTTTGCGGTAAATATTTGTAAACCTTTTGATGCTGTTTGCTGAACTTTTTGGTAAACTTGGATTGGAATCACTTGGGCAGGAGTTCAAACTTTTGTAACGTCTTGCTAAAGAAATGGACTTTACGGGAGAATCACCCAGTAATTCAAGAGAAGATGTCGATGTACGAATACTAGAATTTTACACCTGATTTTACTTCGTTTGGGATAAGTGTTGGTGCCGTAGTGTTTTTGTCAAGTGCTTTTTTTAGAGGTTTTGGAAACATTTCAATTAGTGTCCAATAAGATTATCTGGGTTGGGAGTAAAGTCGACTTAAGCAAGCGCAGATTGAATGCTAGCTAGATTTGAAAGGGACAGATTTTCCGTATGCTGTCTAAATTTACTTTGAGTATTCACCGTGCACTCTTTTTTTTAAACGAAGTAAATATTTATCGGAGCGACGAGAATCATCAGTCAAGGTGTTTGAAGAGGACGGAATTTAAAAGAGTAATCTGTTTTTGGAGCAGTGTCACGTTGCTCTTCATGTTGCGCAGCAGATGTCATTTACGTGCATAAGAGCGTGGCGGGACGAGAGCTACAGTACTCAGATCGGCTGCCAATCTATTAAAAGTTGCGACCTACGTCCACAATAAGCTCTGTTTATCTGGTTTATCCTTGGAAATCTGCAGATTTTTTGACATCATTAGATTCCTTAATTTTGTGGCTATCGATCTATCGTTATCTCATTCTGTTCTGTAGCGTAGTTGCCGAGATATTTGCCAAAATGTAAAATTGAAGCCCATTTTTAAATTGCTTTTTTCTGTGATTTTGTATTAAAAATTGTGGATGTTTGAGACATACGGTTTTTTTTCATTTTTTTGCATATAGGTTTCTTGAATTGTGTTTTTCAAAAAAATGAAATTTGATTGGGGGGTTTGCCG